CTTTGTGAGTAACAATGTTGTAAAGATATGTTCAATTATGAATATTTTCTGAATGATCAACTGTTCTGTTTACTGAAACGTTACTATTTAAAGAACGAATGTTTATCCTATTTGTAAACCGTATTCGTGTCATCCTTAGCAACTTACTGTTACTGTACTGTTACTGCTACTGTCACAGAGATCTCTGTCGGTTCCCAAGTTTGGAACCACTACTGTTACTGTTATGATGGCTATCAACTGACTATTCGGTCTGTTAAGACCTACTGTACTGTTTTGCTATTAGATGTACCACATATGATTGCTATGGTTTCTAAATGACTGATATGACTGTTTACTTACTGAAAGGACATTCATTCTTAACCTCTTTACACAACTGTTATTCACTGGGCTTTAGCTCACTATTTATATTTATATGTGGGTGTCTAGGCATCGAACCGGAGCTAGGAGCGTCGAGTTAACTCCCTTTTTGTCAAGTCAACCATTGTGCCTCACCTCGAGGTTCCATGTCTGACCGAGCTAAGGCTGTTTTAGGGTGTCACAGTTTCACCATTCCGTCTCTGTTTTGTAATACTGTTTAAGACTTGTACTGTACTGTGCTAATTAGGGATTTGGTCCCTAACCTGGATGTTTGTACATATGGTGTATATATGTTTTTCTTATGAATGTGAATATGTTCAGAAAAGTCTTTTTGCATACAAATTGTCACAGCTCATTGGACATCTTTTATTTACTGTTTTGGCTTCCGCCAGCCCCTTACTCTGTATTACTGTCATTACTGTTAAGCAAGCCTTCGGTAATCACGGATTACTGGCCGGTTACGATGCTTAAACCCATAGGGGCGGGTTTGGGTCGTGACAAGTAGAATGGTTGAAGTATTCTTTTTTTTCCGACAACAATATTACTTCTCCCTAATTTATCATTGCTAAATCACCCTTAATGATATGGCATTGAGGTTAGACCCAATATGATGGAACGTTTGACAAAATTAAAATTTGACACTCGTTAGACGCGTCATTAGGGGGTGATTTTTAGAAGTCACTACAGGAAAAGATGGTTATTGCAACGCTTCTTTTATGGCGTTTATGAAAAACGCCATTATAGGTTATTTAAATACAACGTTTTTAAAAACGTTGTATCAGATCTCAGTAAAACGGCACCGTTTCGGTCAACTTGTGAACACCGTTCAACCCTCCGTCCCTTTCAAAACGTCTCTCCCTCAATCTCACTCTTGTCTCCCTCTTAGTCTCACTTTCTAAACTCGAATTCTCTCTCGCTCAGAAACCCTTTCGATTTGAAGCTCAAAACCCCCTATTCTCACTGATTTGAAACGCTCGATTTCAACCAATCTTTCTCGCTCGATTTCAAACACTCTCGATCGATTTCAGATCTGTCGATTTCAGAACCTGTCACAGATTTGAAGCTCTCCAGATCTCGCTCAATCGGTCTCTTTTTGTTGTTGCAGAACTCAAATCTATAAGTTTTTATTATATATGCATTTGTCTTGTATGAACTCAGATATCTGATTTGTCATTGTTTTGAGTTCATTGTTTTGGATTCATTGTTTTGGATTTGGTAGATGTATCTCACCTCTCTCTCACGCACACACATCAAGCTATTAATGTTTCATTTACATTTCTCACAACGGAAATAATAATACAACTATAACAAAATAATAATACAACTATAACAAAATAATAGTTGTAAAAAACTGTTGATGTCCTGATATTCTTTAGTTGCACAAATTACTTTACCCTTTCTTTACTTTTTACTTTTTATGCGCAAAAGTAGTAGGTTATTGGTACTCTAGTTCCTCTCATTTGATGTCCTGATATTCTGATTTTTTATTTATTTTTACTAGAACCTTCCTAGAGCTACAAAACCTTTATTTATTTATTTAAGAGAGGGCTGCCAAATTTGATTTCCCACCTTTCACATAGCGGTCAAGTAAGTTATTTCTTTTTCTTTAGTGTTTATTTGTTGAGGGCTTTGATTGCATTGTTGAGGATAGGTTCAAGTAGAAATTTTGGTTTGCAAAATTCCAACATTAGCTATTGCATCTGTAGTTTTGGGAAAAGAGGAACCAATTAATTTTTGTCACCAACATATCAATACGAAGGTTTAAAGTTTTTGCAAGCTTTATTACTACATTGGATCTAGTCATCATCCTCAACTTTGCTGCTTCTTTGCAGTCATTTAACACTCATTGGTATATTTATATTGTGTGCAACCTTTTGTAAATTTATTGTGTTTTTTGAAGTTGGTCAAATTTGCTCATGATTGGCTGTTTCGTTAGTGTGCTGTGCAGAATGATTGAGGCCTTAATTATCGGTTTTGGCATTTTAAAGTAGGAATTGAGTGAGTTTCTGAATATGTTGAGGATTATTAGGTTCAATCTTGAACTTGTTACCCCTGTCATAAAGTTGATGTTGAATCCACATGTTAAGCTAGGCGCTCTACTATTGATAATTTATCTTAATGATCTCATTTTAAGGTGATTGAAACAATCATTTTTTTCTCAAAGAAGTTGGATAGAAGTTTTTAAGTTGATGTAGTCTGGTATGTATGTTTACATTGTGCAAAATACGATGTTTTGATCTACAACCGGCATGTTCCATGGGGTTACGGTTGTAATGACTAGTGATTTTATTTTTCTAGAAAGTTAGTAATGATTTTATACCTTTTCAAGTTGTATTTGATTTAAATAGCTGTCCAAATTGTTTTGTTTTATAAATTATAAATAAAAGCACAGTGTGTATGGATGAGGTAGCTTTGATTGACCTTATATTTGACAAGTGGAAAGGCCATTATGGAATAAAATCCAATAGTGGATTGCGATATAATTCAATGATAAAATTACCTAAACTAATGTGATGTCCCATTTGTTATACCAACGCGTAAGAATCTGTGCATGCCTTGTGATGATTAAAGAAGTCAGTGTGAACAGCCATTATTTTGTTATAGTTGTTAGAGAAGTACTGAAGCACCATATTAGACTACTTACCGTTACAGCTGTCAATTTTATATAATACAACTGCCAATTTTTTCTATTTCATATTTTCTATCCCTTTTATTTCAATTGGTGGGTATGGTTCAATGGGTATCGTTCAGAAGTCTATTCTTATAGGCAATAAGGTAATTATATATAATTTAAACAACCTAAATCATTCATATAACCAAGCATCTTCATACCTGCACTATATTAGACTACTTACCGTTACAACCAAACATTAATATTCTTCTCCATACATCCCTCATCCTCTCTCTTTCTCTGCCCTTTTACTTAGTTGTTCAAATTCTATAATGGCATTTTTGTTCTTCAAATTCGGCTTCAACAATTATTTATGTCTCCAATTCAATTACATGAGCTGAAATAAGAAACTCTGAAGACTAAATAGATAAAATTGTTAGCTCAGGATCAAATAGAAAAAGAATAGCAATGGCTTAGAGAATAAAAGCAAAGGCAACTCTGTATATATTTATCTCTTTCTCTGGTGTTTTTGCACTGCACCACTGGTCTTTGTTTGTATATATTTTCTAAATTAATCTGCTGGACATATCAATTAATCTTTTGGTTTCTAGAGTCATGTTCAGGCCAGTCTGAAACTACATAAACATAAAATGTAGTGGCCCAATCCTGAAATCAGTGTTGTTCATGAGATCAATTACAGGTCATGTATAATAAAGTAAGATGCGACAGATTTCTAATATGTAATGCATGATGAATTATCATTTGTTCACTGTCAACTTATTAGTCTAATAGGACTTATGTTTTGTTTTTTCTTCATATTTTATAAATAGAGATACCTAGTCATTTTTTATGAATCTCTATATCATAATCTATCAAGAGCATTGTAGAAACTTTTAGTTTCTTCATTAATATGCTTCATGCTAGAAATGCTTCTAGTATGCTTGATAGTTTTGATTCAGGTTGCACCACCGGGATGCAATAATCATGACAGTTGTTAATTTAGCAAGTAATTATCCATGCATACATAAAAAGCCTTAGACCCGTCCAAGAATCTTCATTAGAGATACCTAGTCATCTTTGATGAAGCTCTTCTTGGATTGTCCAATTGGGACAGTTCAGGAGCACAAGTCTATGTTGTAATTAGTAGTTCTACCGCTTAAATGTAGTCCATCTCGTAGAGATTTCGTGTAGTAGCTTCTCATATTCTCTGCGTCCATACTAGACAAGGTGTAGCAGTACACCTAGTCTATGTCGTGTACTTGGAGAATCATGGGGAGATGCTACCGAAATTTCGTTAGAGATGGATAGAGCAGTATGAGCTACTTTTTACAATATGGACTGTGCATTCCTGAATGAGAAAGTAGGATGAACCAACCTATTAGAGAAGAGTTAGCGGTGAATGGTGTCATGTCGCATGCATTGTAATGTACTTAATTGAGGTTAAGAATAATTAAAATGAAATAATAATTTTGAACCTTGTTGATTTGGCAGTGACATTTGTAGTAAGTTGCTTATCATCTGTTTAGATGAAGTGATTAAACCCGCGTAATCGAAGTCATCCAGAAGGTTCAATTGCAGAGGGATACTGAATGATGGCGATGAAGTCAATGAAATGATATATGAGGGGTTCAGACTTTCTCCACCAAGCTTGGTTCATCGTGCTAGTAATGAGACAGGAAGTTCTAATATCGAACTAGGCCCGGATAAGAAAACTAAAAGATTTTTTAGTTTATTGAAGGAGGCCGAAAGAGAGTTGTATCCAGAGTGTCACAAGTTTTCAACGCTGTCATTTGTTGTTCGATTATTGCATATCAAGTGCCTTAGTGGATGGAGCGACAAGTCTTTCACGATGTTGCTTAAACTTTTGAAGGATGCATTCCCAAAAGGTGAAACTTTGCCAAAGTCGTTCTATGCAACGAGGGCACTCCTTAGGGAATTGGGCCTTGATTATCACAAGGTACATGCATGCCCAAGAGATTGCTCACTGTATTGGAAGGAGACAGCTAGTAGGGATGATTGCATAGTGTGTTAGATGCCTAGATACAAACAGTTTGAGGGTGAGAAGAATGATTATAAAAAGAAGCAACAAAGAATTCCCCAGAAGATTGTGAGATACTTTCCTTTGATTCCAAGGCTTCAAAGATTGTTCATGTCATCCAAAACTGCTTCATTAATGAGATGGCATGTAGAGGGCCGAATTGATGATGGCAAAATGAGACATCCTGCTGACTCTCTTGTCTGGAAAAATTTTGATACTTTGTATCCCAAGTTTGCGAGTGAGCCTCGCAATGTCAGACTAGGTTTAGCAGCGGATGGATTTAATCCATTCAAGGCAATGAATGTTGCTCACAGCAGTTGGCCAGTTATTGTAATGCCTTATAATTTGCCACCGTGGTTGTGCATGAAACAACCTCATATGATGATGATATTGCTCATTGATGGTCCTTCTTCACCTGGCAATAACATTGATGTCTACTTGCGCTTGTTAGTGGATGAACTGATTGAATTGTGGGAAAATGGTGTTCAGACGTACGATGCAGAAACTAATCAAATGTTCCAATTGCACGCGGTCTTACTGTGGACAATAAATGATTTTCCTGCATATGCAAATTTGTCTGGATGGAGCACGAAAGGTGTTTTAGCTTGTCCTTGTTGTAACATACGTACTCGACATCGGTATTTGAAGAATGGAAGGAAAATTTGTTACATGGGGCATCGCCGCTGGTTGAATGCGAGTCACAAATTTCGAAAAGATGCTGCGTCTTTTGATGGAACTTCTGAATTTGAACCATGTCCAACTCGGTTATCGGGGGCTAATGTGTTACGACAGCTAGGGCCTAAGCATCAACCAACTAACAGACAAAAAAAAACTAGGAAAGGAAAGAAAAAAAAGGACAACGAGGAGGATCATAATTGGAGGAAGAGGAGTATTTTCTTTGAGCTTCCACATTGGGAGCATAATTTGATTCGCCACAATCTTGATGTAATGCACATTGAGAAGAACATGTGTGATAATGTATTGTGGACGATATTAAATGTTGATGGGAAAGGAAAGGATAATTTAAATGCTCGTCGAGACTTGCAAGATATGGGAATTCGAAAGGCATTACATCCTAAAAAAGGGGTTGGGAACAGGTATTATTTGCCGCCTGCATGTTTTGCTATGAACAATAGAGAGAGAGGTTTGTTTTGTACACTCCTGAAGAATATCAAAGTTCCAGATGGGTATGCATCCAATATTTCTCGTCGTGTTAACCTCAAACAACATAGCATATCTGGACTGAAAAGTCATGACAACCATATATTGATGCAACAAATACTTCCAATAGCAGTGAGAAATTTGTTACCGAAAAAGTTGTTGAACCATTGATTGAGTTAAGCAATTTCTTCAGGCAGTTGCGCTCCAAAACTCTAGAGCCAGATGGGTTAGATCGTCTTCAATCCCAAATTGCTCTTACACTTTGTCATCTTGAGAGAATTTTTCCTCCATCCTTTTTCGATATAATGGAGCACTTGCCTATTCACCTAGCAGAGGAGGCCAAGATTGCTGGTCCAGTGCAATATCGCTGGATGTACTCCATAGAAAGGTGTGCAATTCTACTCCAATTTAAGGTTGTAGTCATTTGTTTGTTTATAATTGAAAGTCATGTGTGGATTTGTTTGTTTATTGGTATCTTATGACACTTAAGTCATATATGTGTAATCGAAGTCATCCAGAAGGTTCAATTGCAGAGGGATACTTAGTTGAAGAGTGTATGACCTTTTGCTTAAGGTATTTGGATGATGTCGAGTCAAAATTGAATCGACCAATAAGGAATTACGATGTTAGCGACAATCCTGGGATATTACTGGGTCATGCTTTAGGAAAAGGAAAAGGGTTTGCGCTTGATAACACATCATGGGTACAACCTCATCGGTATGTGTTATTTAACACTGCTGCGGTTGTCCCATATCGAGAGTAAGATACAATCTTTGTTCCAAAATTTTATTGATACCATTAATAAGTATCTTGCATTTTATAAGTACTTTAAATGTATAGGGAGTATCATGATTTTATTAAGCGGTCACATCGTCGTCTTAAAGATTTTGATGTGGATCGCTGTCACAATGATGAGTTTCCCAGATGGTTTAATTCTCCTGTAAGTACTAATAACTTACATGTTTTTAATTTTCAATTCTCATGTTTTCAATTTTTAATTCTCTGTTAGTTGATGTTTAATTTTGTTGACTTTGTAAAAATAGGTTGAAGAGCTTCTAGCTATTAAAAATGTTGTGTTGTCAGATGAGATTAAAACTTTGGCATTGGGACCTAGTAAAAAGGCCACGAGATTCAATGGGTATATAATTAATGGTACTAGGTATCATACGAGGAGTCGTGAGTGGAGAAGAAAAACTCAAAATAGTGGGGTTATGGTGAAAGCAAAGACTTGTAGCTATGCAAGTACCAGAGACATGAATCCTGTGGAAGGTGAAGTAGCATACTATGGATATGTGACAGATATTATTGAATTGTATTACTCATACGACCGTAGATATGTGCTATTCATGTGCGACTAGATTGACAACAACAAAGGACTGAAGCAGGATGGGTTTGGTTTCACACTTGTTAATTTCAATCATTTGTTATACACAAAGAAACAAAATAGTGATGAGCCATTCATCCTAGCATCTCAGTAACAAATGAAAGTTCGAAAATACCCATCATTTGTTTTAGTTTTTATTTTTTTATCTTTCTTAATATGTAGAGGTTGTTTTCATAAATGATGTTTTGAAAATTGTCTTTGATTCACCAAGCAAATATTTGTACAGAATTGCGCTTTGTGTTGCTATGGGACTAAAGGAGAGAACTGATGCCAATTGGATGAACCTTGTATTATTAATGTTGAAATATTTTCACTAAATCTCTGTGTAATTAAAAATCCCATTCTGAATTCGTTTTTCTTCTTTCTTTTTTCTACACAAAAACGAGGCAAATAATGCTAAAGATGGGATTAGCTTCATTGTTGCAACTTCAATATGTTACATCAGTATGCTATTTTTAAACTTGTTATTTAATTATTTGAAAGTTACAGTATTAGGCTTATCAATGAACCTTTGAAATATCATATTCCTTAATGACAAAGAAAGACATTAAAAAAAATGTGTTAGTGTATGAATGAGTTGATATTTTTTTGAAGTCTGATGCAAAGTTACAAGTATGTGTGGTTTTGCAGTTCTTTATTCATCCCCTTTTTCCTTTTTTGCTTTTCCTGTTAGGCTATAGTTTGTTTGAACAATGAGTTAGTGGCCACTAAAAAGGTGAGAGAGCATATATGCTATCCATTTGTTTTAGTTTAGACCTGCCTGGAAAGAGAGAGTGGCCCTGTTGTCATCTACAAAGAATATAAAAGGATCATAATAGAAATGTCCTCATCATACTATCTCATCTTAAACAATAATGTTAACTACTCAAAAAAGTATTTACAAAAAGGGTTAGTTTTCAAATTTGAACTAATTTGAGTCACCTATGAGCTCACTACAGGTCCATGATCCACAGTATTTAACACCATTAAATCTTTTCACAATAAATTTCATGGCA